AATCATGTCTTGTGATTATTTGACAGGAGTTTTACTTTCACACTGTAAGTGTATTTAATTTAGTTATGTTAGTTATGATAGGTTAGTTATGATGTAAATACAATAAAAATTAAACCAAGATTTAGATTAGAATAATTATCATTTTGATCCATACATTGGTAATGTCTGACTGGGCCTCGTGCCACTTTATGTTCAACAAATTGGGCCCCGAGGTCAAAAAGGTTAAGAACCCCTGGTTAAAAGCAGCAGGTGCATGGCATAGAAATGTTTGGGAACCCCTGCTTTAAAACACTATATAGTGAATGAGTGGACAAATGAAAACCAGCCAAGGTGTTCTGGTTGACAGCTGCTCTGAGCTTTTCAAACACTTTGGCTTCCTGTGGGTCTGTTCTAACTGAAGCAGCATCCTGATCCTCTGCTGCAACAGGAAATCTGACTTCCACAGTCAGAAACCAAACTCACAAAAAAAAAGAAAAAAAAAAACCGAACTCACAGCAGTCACATCTTGTGTCCCTGACCGGGCCGTCTCGAACCGATTAGAGACAGGAACCAGTGGCTCACGACAGCCTGGAGGCTTTCCTCTGGAGATGAAGCCGATGTGCAATGAAAGCAAAAAAAAATGTGAAGACGCTCTCTCCTTTGGAGACACGCACACACAGCCTGACTGTAAATGAGTCATGTGTGTCTTTTAGTGTGTTAGACGAGGCACTAGGCGTAAGTCAGGTACGGTTTTCTTGATGCCGTTTCATGTGTAGCTCAGAGTGGGTTTGTGCTTTAAGAGGATCCTGTTAGCGGAGCAGCAGGCCTCTGTGGATGTCAGAGCAGGTTTGTTCTCTGTCTTTCAGTGTGTGTCCTTTTGGAGCAGAGAGAAGCACTAACAAGAACACTGCTTTAATTAAAGGCCCAGCATTCCTTTAAGCAATGAATATTGTCAACCCCCTTAACGTTAGAGTTTCAGACTACAATCGTGTGTTGAGAAATGACGAAGTTGTAGCCATTTTAGTCAGAGCTTAAAATAACATCATGCTCAATCTCATCTGATTTTATATTTTGCATAATCTGTTAGTGATTGGACTCCAAAGGTTATTAAAATGCAGATGTCAAAGTAATTACTTTCTAAAAGTTTCATTAAAATCTGAGTTATGAGGTTTTTTTATGTTAACATTACAGCTAAACAAACGCATGCGTGCACACCTGTTATTGTCTGCTGCCAAAAAGGCAGCAATATGTAGCTGGAAGTTTTAAAACAAATTTATGGGCAATAAGAAGCAATCAGGACTACTTGTTCAGTTATGCAATATTGTTGACTTTTTTATGTTTTGTTTTATTGCAAAACATTTATAATGACAATAAATTAAATAGTGTAAGTATTCTCTTTAATGATGCAGAAAGACAACAGCAGAGGGCTAGTCATGTTCTTCCTTTAACCACCAGCAGGTGGCAGTGATGCTCAGAGAAGCATGACTCTTCTAGGAAAAATAAATGAAGCAGGTTTAAGGAGGATAATTACTTGCCAACTTCATTTTTGGTAAATTAACAGATTAAACTGTTAAAAACAGATGAAAAATAAGTATTTTAATATTTAGTTAATGGATTGGTTTTTATTAAATTAAATGCAAAGAGGAAATATTTCATGGATGTCAGACTAAGCTCCATATTCTGTATTAAAACTATACGTGTGTTTTGTTGTGTTTTTTTTTCAGGGAGAACTTGGACCAGCTGGACCCAGAGGAGAAGATGGTCCCGAGGGGCCAAAAGGTCGCTCAGGGCTCCCAGGGGATCCTGGTCCACTTGGACCCAATGGTGAAAAGGTGTGCTGTGTTTTAAGGGCATGTTCCTGCAGGAACATAAAATACCATTAAATATAT